AAATATGTTAAAGAAAAAATATAAATATAAATGTTAAATATAAATGATAAAGATAATAAAACAAACAAAATGAATAATTTCTCGAAATATTTTAGTATGCCAGTTGAAAGAAGACATATGGTTACTGTGTTTTTGAAAAATAAATTAATGCTTGTGGGTGGTGTGGGACGATATCGACAAAAACTGCAAAGTATTGATATCTACGATGTTCATACAGGTGATTTTGATAGTACAGCTACACAATGTGTATTTCATTAATATGTAATAAGTTACTTGAGTGTATATATAGAGGAGTGTATATATAGAGGAATTAAGATTGCCGACATATCACTTTGTTCTTAGACAATATTTTTTAAACAAAACTACAAATAAAAACTTTGAAAACATAAACGAGAATGTATTGAAATGAATTCAGATTTTTATTTTTAAAAATATGCATTCGCAAACATTAAAATGAATCTTTTTCAAGTCGAATGCATTTTTATTCATTTATACGAATTGAATGAAGCAAATTTCTATATCTTTCAATAAAAAAATAATATTAACTTTTCTGTGATTCGTACTTCTCAATTCAAAATTCTGAATAGGAAATGTAGTTTTTCAATTCAATTGAATTCAATTGAATTCAATTGAAAAAAAAATTCGTTATTTAAAATGCATATTTGGATAAAAAATTTCGATCCATTTTAATCCATTCTCATTTACTAGGAAATTATAGAATTCTCCTTTCTTTCTTAGCTAATTTTGTATAGAAACAAGCCACAAATATATGAATTATGAGTTTTTTTTCTTTAGTTATCAAAATAATATTTTTATCAACATTAAAGTGCACTTAGTTTCCAAGAAATAAAAGTGTGTCTCTTTGAGAGGTTTATATTAAACATAGAGACTCTAATAAGAATCACAATATGAGAAAGTCGCGTATTGATTGGTCTGTCATGTTTCAGAGGAACATATTTCCGCCTTATATTTGCATACATTATATTTGTGTCACTTTAAAATTTTAACAATGTAATGAAAATTAGATATTTTGAACATATTAACACATAAATTTCTTTACATTACGTGTTGAATTAATACATGCGAGAAGAATTATTTAGTTTTACATCCTTTTTTACAAAATTATTTTGAAAATTAAAAAATTTGATTGTGTATCTTAAAACGATGTTAAAATTACAAAAGTGAATAAGTGTTCAATGGAACATTTATAATTTCATTAGATATTTAATAAATTTTATTCAACTCTATAACTTTCACGTTTCAAGATATACAATTGATATTCTGGTACGTAAAGAAAAAGAAATACAATTTTTTTATACCTTTAACATTTATTTTACAAATTATTGTGCATCGCTATCGACTTACTATCATATTTTTTATACGTATACGTACGTACGAACACGTTTTGTTACTGCAGGTTTAAGAATTAGGGATCTCATTTTTGAAAAGAAACTTATATAAAAAACTAGGGAAATATAATATGTTATGTATATTATAGTATATTCCTAGTTTTTCGTATACGTTTCTTTTCAAGAATAAGGGTCTACATTAGAGATACATTAAAGTTAAACAGAGACAATATATTCCTTTTTCTATTATAGATTTTACTGAAACTACTACTTTGCATACAAAAGTCAAATCAGCTCGTATCTCATGACTTTTATCAGAGGATCTCTAGTCAGACACATATCGGCGATTTTCCTTTAGTAATTTCAAACAAAGATTATTATGTATAACATTTCAGATTATATCGTAGAGTTGTTTCTTACAATTACCATTTTTTTAATTTAACTTTTTTAAAATTATTTTTTCATCAATGAAAGATATTATTTTATTTATTAATATTTGCTTTTAAATTTGAACAATGTATATGTCGACGTCGGATGCAAAGGTATTTTGAATTTTCATAATGTTCTTAAATTTTTTTCTTTTAATGACGCAGGTTTGTGGACATCAGGTAAAAAAATGGATTCTTGGGAATTTACCACAGTTCCTGAACATTACGTTTTTGATGAAAAATTAATAATATATGAATGTCATACTTTCCCAGATACCATTTTAGATGAGTTCATTGCTCTGCCTCGTAAGTAAAATATTAGCAGAATGTTGGGAGACTCGCAGCAGATTTAAACTGTGTTCCGACACTGCTATTATTGAAATATCTTTCTTCGCGCATACATAATAGAGACGCACTTGAATCATATGTGCATCCTTTTCTATCTGAGTTTTACCTCCATTCCTTGAATTTCAGAGAATGCTCAGTCTAGTTATACTATGTTTTAGTTAAATTAATTAAGTTCCAAAAGTGTTCATTAGTTCAGCTACAGAAAACAAATCTAATGATTGCATATTGCGCACATGCATGTGAATTAGCCGCATAGCGGTAAAAGCTCATAGCATTAGATAGATGCGTTTTCAATTGAGATTCACTTGCACGCGTTCGAGCAACATGTGCCTTCTGAATTACTTTAAAATGTATATTTCATTTACTCGAAAAATATCTTAAAAAAGAATAATACTTTGCTCTTGAGACTTACTTAAAAAAATTATTTCATGAAAATTGAAGAATTTTTTAATATTACGCCCTTTATTCTATTCCGTGTTATGAGAAATTTCTTTCTGCCATAAAAAAATGTATAACAAACCGTTCAAAATCTGTCTCTGCAGATTTGACTATCCGGGTCAACATCTATTTTCCTGATGAAAACATATGGGAAACAAAAACGGGTTTTTATATGGATTATTCTCGTCAATCACTTCCATTTATGCCAATATTGACGCTCAAAACTCTACCATGTTACATTAGTAAATATAATTTATGTATTAATATTATGTAGATGTGAAAAAACTTAAATTTTATCTTGGCTTGTTTTGCAGATATTAATAATCCGGATAAAATGGTTTTAAGAACTATCACAGAGACGTGCAACATGGAAATATGTGATTATGTACAGACGATCGAACGTCTCGTATTCGAAAAAGGAAATGATTCAAATCGTAAATACGTATTGCATACAAAATGTGATGCGTATCTCTCTATTTTAATATCCTCGTTATGCGGGCGTGCACTAGTATGTATGGATTCGAACACTTCTAGAAAAATAAATACATTACACTTCCATAATATTCCTATACGAAATCCAAATAAATTCCGTTCCTTGCTTTCTTCTCATTCACCCAGAAAATTTTTTGATTTAATTCATCCAGCTCACTTACACACGACAAACTTGAATCATATTTAATGTATGTATATTTTTATTGATTGAATATTTAGTAATTCAATATATTTGAGAGAGAGAGAGAGAGAGAGAGAGAGAGAGAGAGAGAGAGAGAGAGAGAGAGAGAAATCTATATGAACTTCAGAATATGAAAGAAATATTTGAAACATTGCAAACAGAAATGGAGTATATCTATATGTTTCAGAAATATGTTAACTATTTTTATTTGCTATATATTCACTTTTATATACAATGCGATGTTTTCTACCGATTGTCATACCATTTAAATCATTATGAAATGTTGAATGATAATTGTATAAGCTTTGTATTACCATGCAAATGCTTTTTATATGTAATTTTTACATTTTTCAAATATACAAACACTTTTCTGGTACGACTTCTTCCTAATTCATTAAATTTCATAAAAAGAATCGAATCTTTTGAGAAAAGCAGTATAGTTTCCTTTTAATTTATTACAATTTCAATTTTTATGGAAAGAAATCGTTTGAGTGATTAATTCAATCTCTGGTTGGAGAACTTTTTTTTTTGAGAGATTATTATTGTTAATTTATTATTGTTAATATTTGGAAGGCTTTTTCTATTGATGCAGTATCGCTATCTTTAGTGGAAAATTTCAGGGGATTAAGTTTATATTTTGGATACTTTGTTTTTATTGCAAAATTGAATATTTTTTAATACATATTAGGTGTAGTAAAAAGAAATTCATTATTTTTCTATTCAATTTCATGCAAAAATAATGGATTTTTTTTTACTACACCTAATATTTAAAAATCTGCCTTAAGGGTCCTGTTATAAATAACTCTAAGAGGATCCTAAGGCTGTTTGTACCGATTAAGCCATATAATTTTTATATAACAATTACTTTTTTCCTCTTTTATAAAAATCATTTTTATGCTTCCGGTTGTATGTGAATCCGCTCCACTTTCTTTTGATTCTCTCTGCAAGCGTCAAGCAATGGAAATAGTAATCAGCGAGAGGCCACGAGATACTATTAAAGACCATCGGCCCTGGGCAAATTTTTGTGATTATTAAAGGAGCCCGGGGAACCCGGAGATAATTGAAGAACAATGACGTTATCGACAATTAATAAAAATTCATGATTATTAACGTAAATATTTCGATAATACATTATTAAATACATTATTAAATACATGATTAAATACATGATTTTTTTATTATGAATGTTATATAAATAAGTATGCATACTTTTAATGCTATAATATCTTAAATGTTGCCGAAAAATTATAATTTTTTCTCTACAGTTATCATCTGTATAATTGATAATCAAATCCGGATGATAACATTAAAATCATAGTTTTAAATCAAAATCTAGTATTATTAAGTTTTAAACGTATGTACATGTATCTACGAAACTAATAAATCATAAAATTAATATTATTAATTTTTTACTCTTAGGTTTAATTGCACCAACATTACTTTAATTTTAAGCGTTGCTTAAAACTCTTCCTTTCGGCTTTAAAAAAAGAAAGAGAGATTTTTAAACTTTGTTTAAAATAACGTACAATCGAGATTTATAATTATTCAAATTTTACACAGGCACGCGAATTTCCATAAACGCCGACCGTATCGTCGAGGCGATACGGGTAGTAGTGTAAAACAAATTTGTAAAATTTGTAAAATAAATTTTTTATGTGGTCACGCGCAATTCTTGACGCATGCGTATAATGCAACATCAAATTGGGGGGGTCACTCTTTCGAATGAGTTAGCAGTCTAGTAAGTCTAGTAGTATATATGAAAGTCTGTGGTATGTACATGCATAAAAAAAATGTTTGTTTATAGTTGATAATCGTTCTAATAACGCTAAACATGATGGATTATGAATTTAAAATGAAGACGCAAAAAGACCGCACGAAGGTCGAGGATTTGTTTGAGTTTGAGGGTTGCAAGGTTGGAAGAGGTACATACGGGCACGTATATAAAGCTCGTCGAAAAGAAGGGTTAGTTTCCTTAACCTAATTTTTGATTACTTTGCGAAACTTCCTTGATTTTGTTATGTAGATTGTTATGTAGAGCTTAGATTATTTTACATTTAATTGTATAAGATGGGGAGCATAGACTTTTGCATAACACGTAATGCAACAAATTTGTTCTGCTTTCTCAGATTAATCTCAGATAAAACCTATCGATTAATTCTCTTAAAGGGCTCTGAATTTATATTAGAGCCATATTTATTTCCATAAAAGGATGTGCTGTGCTTCATATCGATCATCTTCTATTCAAGATTTTTTTAATACGACAAGGTGTATTTATTCGCTATTGAAATTTGCATTTAGCATTTAATATGATTATCCAATTCTTGATTTAGCTCATCCCATTTGTCTAATACATAGATTTTTAATCGCTAATTTTTAATTAAAATGTTATGCTGATTCTACAATAGGTATTTTTCATTTAGTGACAAGTTAACACGAGCATCATTCCATCTTTTTTTACATTTAGTAAATAATAAGGATAAAATAACGCTTATGTCATCAAATGGAAAACATCTAGGAAGTCGCTAGTCAGTAGTTAAGTCTTATTGATAAAGTTGACCAATAGCCTACTTGTACGACTAACGCTGATTGGCCAATTCACTGATTAAGACTAAGGATATGGTCAACGCAATGCTGCAAATACTTTGAAGTATTTTTTAATTGGTCAATTTGTAAAATTCTTCTAATTGGTCCATCAAATGCTTCAAAGCATTTGTAGCGAGACTTTGACCACAGCATAAGACTTCTGATTACAGATTCATTATAGAATCAGTATTAAGCCTACAATGAGTCAGTAGTCGGTGAGTCAGAAGTGAATCTGAAGGATAATCAATGAATAAGGTTTGGTCAGCAGCCAACTTCTAAGAGACTTTCTACAATAAGCCATTAGTAATAATTAATCAGAAGATAGAAATTGAGCAATCAATTGAATTTATTAATCATGACTTGTTGTAGTTTATAAGATTACTAACTATCAAATCATTATAGATCCGGACTTACATTAAGATTTAAATAAATAATATAAATAAATAAAACAAATAATATAATCATTTAGACTCACATTATTTTGATATCCATAATTTTCTCTTTTTTTTTTGAAAAAATTAAACAATTATTATCTCATTACATATTTGTGTATATATCAATTGAATATCAATCAAATTAAAATACCTATTGGTTAAATTATACTATGATTTAGTTCTGAGAAATACCCTATTCTCTGTAAATTTAATATTAATATATTGGAAATAGTGTTTCAGATAGTGAACTAAAGTCTCGGCCTGATACAAAAGATTTTGGCCTCAAGCAAATTGAAGGTACAGGACTTTCGATGTCTGCATGTCGAGAAATTGCTGTGAGTTATCTCATTATTTTTAAATGATGCAAAAATATTTGTTCGCAAACACAATGGAATATTTCACTTATTTTCTTCTATTCTAGTTACTCAGGGAATTGAAGCATGTCAATGTCATTACTCTTATTCGTGTTTTTCTCTCACATAATGATCGTAAAGTTTGGTTGTTATTTGACTTTGCTGAGCATGATTTATGGGTATGTGTTTATAATTTTAATTTGAAAATAAAATATTTTTAGGCACATTACAACAAATATTTTATAGTAATATTTAAATATGTATTTGCAGCATATAATTAAATTTCATAGAGCAGCAAAAGCCAATAAAAAACCAGTAATGGTACCCAAAGGCATGGTTAAATCCTTATTATATCAAATTTTAGATGGTATTCATTATTTACATTCCAATTGGGTACTTCATAGAGATTTGGTAATTATTTTTGACATTAAACGTTCTCATTTTTTTATTTTTATCACTTTTGCAAATTTTGTCATAAAATACCAATTTTTTTTTATTTTAGAAACCAGCAAATATTTTAGTCATGGGTGAAGGAAATGAGCGGGGACGTGTAAAAATTGCCGATATGGGCTTTGCTAGATTATTTAACGCTCCTCTTAAACCTTTAGCAGATTTAGATCCCGTTGTAGTTACATTTTGGTATAGAGCTCCCGAATTACTTTTAGGAGCCAGACATTACACAAAAGCTATAGGTTTGTCTATATCTATATTGTATATTTTTATGATTTATATAAAATTGTACTGAATATTTTATTCTATCTCTGCAGATATATGGGCTATCGGCTGTATATTTGCAGAACTTTTAACATCCGAACCTATATTTCATTGTAGACAAGAAGACATTAAAACAAGCAATCCATATCATCATGATCAACTAGACAGGTGAAAATATAATTTGTATTTATTTTATATGATATGGAGAATGACATAATCTTTATTTAGGATATTCAATGTGATGGGATTTCCATTGGAGAAAGATTGGGAGGATATAAAAAAAATGCCAGAGCATCCTACATTGCTCAGAGATTTTAAAAGATCCAAGTGAGTTTGTCAGTTCAAAACTTAACTCCATCAATGTTTTATTCGAAATTTTTTAATATCGATTCTTTTTTATTTTTAGTTACGCAAACTGTTCACTTACTAAATATATGGACCGGCATAAGATCAAACCCGATAGCAAGGCATTTAATTTGGTATGATATATAAAATAAATATACAAATTTTGTAGTATGTCATTTTATCATATTATTGTTTAGTTACAGAAATTATTAATGATGGATCCAAACAAGCGTATTACGTCAGAACATTCAATGCAGGATGCCTACTTTCAGGAGGAACCACTGCCAACACAGGAGTATGAATCTATTTCTATATTTTTACATTATAATTTTTTTTTAAATCTCAATTACGTTTAACATGAAATTTTATTTCATGTATTATTTTAGCATATTTGCCGGATGTCCTATCCCTTATCCTAAGAGAGAATTTCTTACGGATGACGATACTGAAGAAAAGACTGAAAACAAAGCGAGGCAAAATCAGCAACAAACGGTAATTACTTTCGACATATTAAGAACATTTATATGATATACTTTATATGGTTTAAGCCGCAACTACTATAATAAAATAATCACAACTACTTTAGTACAGACATAGATTGTGATATCAAAATAAGTATCTATTTATAATTATGTATGTATATTTTTTAAAAATATGGTTTCAATTGTTCAAACGACCTCATATGACCGCCGTGACAAGGCAAGTGAAGCCCACTTTGCCGCTATCTAAGCTCCGTCGCTATATGGTAGTTGAGGATTGAACTGATTTTTTAAATATCGCCTTGTCGCTCATCCAAGTATTCGTGAAACAGCAACAGCAGACCCAACAGCAGCAAGGTAACGGCGATCATAATCATGGACAGAACGCGAAACGGGTGAGACTGAACGGGCCGCATGGTGCTCCTGAGTTCCATCAGCATCAGAGCCACGCGATGACCCACCAACAACCAGGGATGGTTTATTCGACGGCTCAACCAACGCAACCGTCGAACTTCCATCAACGTTTCTAATTTTGTAACTCGTAATTAAAGTGATCAGACAGAATTAGGCCAAAACTTAAACTAATGCATTAATTTAATTCACTAATTTTGTCAATAAGAAGTCACAATTAGTCCATATTTATTCGTGCATGCGCGCATACGTACGTACATGCATATGTACGGAAAAGACGCTCGTTCACTCAACATGCGTAACATTTTTTTGTCCTATATCCGCTTTTACTTCCGTTGCCATCTATCCTCTATTTCATATCAATAGTCTAATTTCTATCGAAATTTTTAATTCGGTTCCATTTCGGTACAGGATACATGTTATGGAATTATTGAAATGGATTCCGATCGAAATTATTCAATTATTACTTAGATTTTTATTATGTATTTTAGGAAAAAAAGAATAATTCTAATCGGAATCTATTCCGACTTACATTATGATAAACTTCCAGTATGCTGTTTTCATTAGAAGTAGTGACCTTGTGAACCTAAGCAGGAGTGAAATGAGCGCAATCAAATGCATAGACTTCGTCACATCATCCTCATGCAGACAACTACACTTTAACATCGAACGCTGATTAGTGAAAAACGGGAGTAAATTTTAGCTCCACAACCGGTTTTTCATTATTCGTTCGATGTCAGAGCGCTGTTGTCCATATGAGGATCCAGGCTTAGATGTGAATTAATGCTTCGATGGAAACCAAAGACACTTAGGAGTCGCGCATACACTTTCCATATCGGTAATCGTAAGACTTACTGTAAGAATTAGTCAATCACAGTCAAGAATTTTTAAAAATTTTCAGCTTTGATTAGCTAACTCTTACGGTCTTATGATTACTATAGAAAATTATGAAAAATGTGTGCGGGCTGTTTTGGACCCCATAGCACATACAAAATAATATAAGGCAATAAGACGTGAATAAGGTAGCGATTATGTATTTTATTTTAGAGCGAAAACGTGAAAAATGAAAATTTTTATGTATGTGTACATACAAATTTTCACTTTTCATGTTGCCCTAAAAAAAAAGTTATATCACTATTCAGTAAAGAAATCGTAATGCATGATCTACAATAGCAGTATCAGTAATGAATGAGGCTGAAGAGTAAGAAATTGACCAATCACAGCCGATTATTCTTCTCACATTCAACTGTGATAAGTTAATTTGTTACTCTTACCGTCTCATCCACTACTGCTAAATAAAATTAAGCAGTCAATATATTACTTTAGATGTATTATATGTAATCTAACAGAAATAAAAATAGCAATAAACTTACCTGTAAATCAAATTTCAACTGGTTAAAATTTTTCTTATAAGTTTATTGCTATTTTTATTTCCATTAGATTATGTAGATCTCATCAACTTAAGTTTATGATTACTGTTACAGAAACTTCGACTGTGTTCCAAAATTTATTATCAGTACTGAAAATCTATAGTGAATTATATAGCTTTTCAGTACTGTAGTAAATTTTGGAACACATTCGAAGTTTCTGTAACAGTAATCATAAACTTAAGTTGATGAGATCTACATAATAATCTAATGGAAATAAAAATAGCAATAAACTTATAAGAAAAATTTTAACCAGTTGAAATTTGAGCCTTTGTCTACGGTAGCTCTTACTAGCCTTATGATTTCTACTGTGATTGGTCAATTCGCTTACTGCTTAAGTCTTATTGTCTTATGTTTTTATGTGTGCCGTAGGCTATAGAGCATGACCTGTGCCATTCATATCTAAACAATATATAATAGTAGTTAATAAAAATGAGAGAGAAAGAGAGAACATAAAAACGATCAATCTTTATTCTCCCAACATATTGTGATTGATTGAATAGAAAGATGGAGATTATTTATCGGGTTGTGCTCTATCTCTTTTTATTGATCAATTTACTCACGGATGGCGTAGTAAATTCCATGCTCTGTCTTCAGTAGAAACTAGACCAGTAATATACGCGTCTTTACTGGAAAGATCTCCATATAAGAGCTCCAATGATGGTCGCGAAGACGGGAAGGATAGCACGACGGGCGAAAGTGAGGAACGAAAGAAGGGCTTGATCACGCAAAGGAGAGGGAAAGCGATCGGACTTGGGCGTTGATTAAATGGTAGAGGGGGATCTATCGCGCACGCGCGCAATACAAGTCGTGCCGCCAGTTGCACGATTAATTGCATACGTCGCGTCGTCGTTGCAGACTCCTGTAACGCAGTTTACACGTCGCTTGACTAAAAAAAGTGCGTATACGCGTGCCACTCGAGTCAGACGATGTGCTGTCTGTTGAATTCGCGTTGCTCCGATGAGTGAATAAAGCAGGTGAGATAGTCCAATCATTAACGCTCATTTTATTTAGAGATCCTATAACAGAGTTTGGCCACGAGCAATTTTGTCAAAATATGAGTGAAAAAGAAGAGTGTATACTGTCTTTTTTTATATATTTCATTCTAACTTATTAAAATTACTTATTCTAACTATAAAAACGACTGATCAAAAGTTTGCCATCTTGTGGCTGGATTCTGTTATAGAATCTCTAATCTTATTTATATTTGTATGATAAAGTAAGATCGTTTCTTTTATTAATTGATTATTATATAAATATCTAAGGTCATTGTGAAAAATCTGGAAAAATCGAATATTTCAAAATAGATCTCAAAAAATAGATCCTAAAAGCAGAGATTAAAAGTAACTAATTAAAATATTAGTGCTATATAAACATTTATCGCGTGTGAACATAATTATTATATCAAAAGAGTAAGAATATCTAGAATTTTTTGAACTACCATCTTGTTATGAAATTCTTAAACTTTAAAAGACTTTTTCAATTTTTTTCTAAAAGAAATGCTGTAAAACTTATATATATATATTTTCATGATTTGAGAATCCATGAGAAATATTCAAAAAAAATCAAGGAAAGCATGAAACGTATTTATTATATATATCAGTCTCTCGTCTTATATCTTAGGAGAAAAGTATGTAGGTATTTTTTTAATAGTAATAAAATAAATTTGTTGAAAGTAAAGTAAAGTATTTTGTCGAAGTAAAGTATTTTCAATAGTAGTTATATTTTTACTAGACTGTAATAGAGATTGTACATTTATATTCTTCCCGTGTTCAGGGCTGAATGTTTCATCTCTTCATTTTTGAATACAGCTTCTGTAATATCAAGTAAATAAAATACAGCATTATAAATAAGTATTTGGAAATTACGATTGTGTAAACGTACTTGTAAGTGATTGTAGTTGTAAGAATTGATCAATCACATCGTGCTATCTACTTGATATTACAAATACTTCATTGATCAATCAAAGCATTTGCAGTATGAAATAGATCGCATTCATAATCGAATATGAAAAGAGTATTCGATTGTGATTGATCAATTTTTATAACTACAACCACTTATGCTAACTATGCTTATGAAATTATAGAAAGGACTTAAAGCGCTTGAATATAGTCACCACAGCCATATTGAATCGTCAAAAACGAAAAATAACGCATTAATTTTTGTTACATGATTTGAAAATAAAAATTTGGATGAAACAAAATGATGAAATCGCTTTAAAAAATTTATAAAAATATACAGAAACTATGCTATCCCCCCTGACAGTAAACAATCGTAAAAAGTAATAAAAGGCATATAAAATGCTTTTATTCAGTGCGCATGCATAGCTTATTTTCACTTACACGTGTCTTTTATTACTTTTACAATTATTTACTGATCGTCAGGGCGGATGAGCATAGTTTTCAAATCTTTTAGCAGTCTCGTTATTTTGTTTTATTTAAATTGTCTTTATTTATAAATGACACGTAATAAAAACGTGTTATTTCTCGCTTCTGACATCAATATGGCTGTGGTGACTACTCAAAAACTTTAAAAATAATAAAAGAAGTATAGAAGAAAGAAGAAATATGCTACGCGATTCGACTATCGTGTGTGATTTCCAATTACTCACCGTGTAATGGCCACACAGGTGATGTCTCTCGCGCGTTGTGATAGAGATTTTCGCATTTCTCTCTCACGACGAAAGGATATTTTGTTAGAAAAGATCGTTAAAATTAACTTAAATGCGTACTATAGTCACAGTGATTTCATTAAACGATAAACGATATTTTAATGCCGCTAATACAATGCAAACACTGTATTTGATCCGTGAGCAGTGACTGTTTTACATTTCACACAATTTCAATTCAATGGGGACTTATACTATATAAATGAAAAATATCGTATTAAAGTAAAGATATCCTGTCCTTTGAAATATAATACATAATATGCAATGATACAGCATTTAACTAATAGCGAATTCGATTGGACGCACTCGATGCGCCCTGTGCACATTAAAGCCATCGTACATAAAATAACGTAAAAATATGTTTATACATAAACATAGAAATCGATTAAATCCTGAAATATTCAATACATTTTATTACGTAAAATATGTATTTTATATTATAATTCGAAATATTTATATTTCACTTTTATACTTATACTCAAATTAAATCAGTGTACAATGGCTTTATTTAATATGCACTAGAGCGCACTAATGCTTCCAATTGAATTCGCCATAAATGTAAGTCCGAGTTTACAATGAGTCGGTGGTAGATAATCTTAGAAGTTGACTGCAAGCCAACTTTACCAATTTATTGGTTTCGACTAATCCTGACTAATCGATAATCCTTCGTAAGCTTTCTACAATAAGCTATTATTTAAGCTTTTATTATCTAAGCTTTCTTAAACTATAAGAAATTAATCAATCAAAACCAAATGTAAGAAGAATAATCGACTGCAATTAGTCAATTTCTTATGACTTAAGATGTAAAGTCTCCACCGTAAAGAGTAGGTAACAGCTTATTGTAAAAATCAGACCCGCTTCCAACTATTGACGAATTTGTAGACACGGCTTAAGAGATCGCGATAAAATAACTCATAAATTTGCGTTCAATGTTTTGTCATAAATTTAATATTCTGTTCCACCTGAGAGAGAGAGCGAGAGAGAGAGGGGGGGGGAAGGAATATGAATGATTCTTTATTAGCTTTCTCAACTATTCCAAAAAATATGAATAGTACATAATCTTAAATC